TGAAGTTTATCATCACACTTATTAGTCATTTACTTTATATCACACTCTGTTAAAGCTTATCAGCTAAATCCCCTCAGCATCAGTGTGTGAAGCTTTGTAACTTCCGTTTCTCAAACCCAGCTCCATAACCAGTCACTGACCACAAATGTACTGTCTGTTTTTTTCTCTGATAAGATTGCAAATGAGGTAATGGCTGTTATATCAAAGCAAGATCTGTTACATGTGAAGATGTATAAATAAAGCGGCATTGCTCATGTTTTTTTAGAGAACACACAAGAATTCTTGGGCTGCGTTTCCATTCCATGTGTTCTCTCCTTCTGCAGAAGAAATAAATAAATCTTACTCTTTTATTTTTATCAAGTTCTCAGTCTCAAAATTTATTAAACAATAGGTTTAAAAAACTCCAATTGACTGAAAATTGTTGGAAAAGTCTGATGTTTATTTCGTCATGTGAGCTACTCAAATTGCCTTTGCAATCTACTAGTCGATCGCGATCTACTAATTGATTGCGATCTACTAGTAGATCACATTGATGTGAAGGTTATTCTCTTTGCACCAGCTCTCCAGGTGTTCCACCTTCTGTCTGTAGCTGGACTCATCATTGTTTGTGATGCATTCCACCACCACTGTATCATCTGCAAACTTTATAATGTGACAGCCTGGATGGGTAGATGCACAATCATACGTGAGCAGAGTAAACAGGAGGGGGCTCAACACACATCCCTGAGGAGAGCCAGTGCTGAGGGTTATGGTGCAGGAGGAGAAGTAGTGGATCCTCACTAACTGTGGTCTGTTTGTTAAGAAGTCTAGGACCCAGTTGCAAATGGAGGAGCTTAGTCCTAGTGTGAATAATTTGTCCATCAGGGTTTGGGGGATCATGGTGTTGAAGGTGGATGTGAAGTCCACAACGAGCATACAGACGTAAGAGTCTTTCTGCTCCAGATGGTTGAGCGCAGTGTGGACCACAGAGGATAAGGCATCCTCTGTTGACCGATTCTCACGGTATGTATACTGATGAGGGTCCTCGTTGATGTTAATGGTTGTTTTGATGTGGGTCATGACCAGTTTTTCAAAACATTTAGCGACTATCGGGGTGAGGGCCACTGGCCGATAGTCATTCAGACCAGTCACAGTAGAGCTTTTTGGGACTGGGATGATGGTGGCAGTCTTCAGGCAGGTGGGAACTGTCTCCAGGGTAAGTGAGGTGTTAAAGATGTCTGCCAGCACCTCACAGAGCTGATCGGTACATTCTTTCAACACTTTTCCGGGGATGTTGTCTGGGCCGGTTGCTTTGTGCGGATTAATCCTCCTGAAGGTACTCCTTACTTCTGCTGAGGTCACGCTGAGATGCTCTTCATCCGGTGGTGAGGTGAGTCTGGTGCTGGGTGGTCTGTTCAGGTCTTCAAAGCGTGCCTAGAACTTGTTGAGGGCATCAGGCAGAGATGGGTCTTTGGGGCATTGTTCACTCCTTCCTTTATAATCTGTTATGCTCTTAATGCCTCTCCACATGCTCCGAGGGTCTTGTGAGATGAATTGACCCTCGATCCTCTGTGCATATGTGGCCTTGGCCTTCTTAATACCAGCAACCAGCTCTCTCCTTGTCCTTCTATGTTTACCTTCATTTCTGAACACTCCACTTCTGTCATGAATCCTACCCCCCCCACACACACACACACACACACACACACTTACTTGACGGTTCCGATACGACTCTTGTCCGTTAAACTGTCCGAATCCACATGTGAAACCTCCAGGTGCCTCCTCCGTCTGTTTGTTGCTCCTGCCCGCATACGACTGCCTGGTTAGCTCGTTCGGCACTCACCCCCACCACTCTTTTAGGGGCGAAGATTTTTTTAAGGGTAGAGGCGGAAATTCTTACTTGAAGAGGCAGATTGTATGTGATATTAAGAAGTAGCTGTTGTGTTTAAAATAGTGTTTATGTAATTATTTTCAGTTTGCATATCCAATATAAGTTTTATTTGTTCAAGACGGTCATATTTGTTCATAACTTTATTATTAGTAAGCCTGAGAGTTACCTGATCCAAGTAAACAGTTACACCCTGTCAAAATAAGAGAATAAAATAAGTTTCTGTTCCGGCAGGATCCGGCTCAAATTAAGCACTGGTAGAGCCCCCCAGGCATAACGTGGACAAGGTGAGTGTTAAAAACAAAATTTGTCTGGGAAACATTTAGTATTACTGTTATTAAAATTATTTCCATATTTGTAGATCCTAATTATTTTCACCCTTCGTCCAAATTTAAAAAATGTGTCAGTTAATGGTTTCATGTTGCCAACAAACCACATGTAAAAACTTAAACATCCAAAGACCATCAAACAACTGAGGAGTGTGTTTAGCTCAGCTCTGATTTATTTCTGTTTTAGCCTCAGGCTTTATGTTCAAAAACTGAAAATAGATAAATTATATATATATATATATATATATATATATATATATATATATATATATATATATATGTATATTTGTTTGGATGTTCTGCATGTACAGAACCGCTATTTATCGAATCCTTCAAATTTCCAAATATAGCATTTGTTTTTTTCATCAGTCAACGTGACAACACTGTTTAACGAAACCACTGTTGGATTTTTGTGTTTGTTCAACTGTCTAAAAAACACAAATATTCTTGTTTATTACTATGTCTTAGGTTTTCTTCTCTTGTTATTGATATTATTAGTATCATACGCCCAACATTACACTACATAAACTTTCTTTTGTCCCAACCAGAACCTCTGATCTGCTCAAGATTAATGAAACTTGATACACATTTGTAAAACTACTAGACAGAGTAACATGCAATCTTTAAATATCCCCAGCTCTAAGGCCAAGGTCACAAATCAAGATCAAAACTTATATGAGGCCTTTGCTCATCCAGGCCTGTGATAGAGATTGCTTTGATTGTCGACGGGCGTACTCTTGTTTTGTGATGTTGCTGATATTTTTAGAGCTTTGGGTTTGGTTGAACGGGCAAAAAGCTCATCAAAGTCTGATTAAAGGTAAATATGAAAAAATGGAATTAGCATAAAATGAAGGAATTCTTTTTTGTTTCATATTTAGATTTAAACAGGACAATATTTAGTCCATGTTGGAATAGCCTCAGAACATATTAAATTTAAGAGGAAACCCTCAGTTTTTCACATTTTTCTGTTCAGTTTTGAACAATCAGCTTCTGTTATTTGAATGGAAGTCAAAGAGTGCTCGCCTCCCAGAGTTTGTTTTAGTTTAGACTACAGCTAATCCTTTTTCTTGTCTGATAAAGTCTTTAATAAGAACAGATTGTTAAAGCCTTGAGGCTTGTCATATGGTTTTACTCAGTACCAGTTTCTGCGCAGCGTTTAAAAAATAAAGGCCTGGTTGATGGAGAGCTGCTGACTGAGTCCAACTCTTTATGTAAGATCAGTTGCTTTAATGAGCATGAATCTGTTAATTGTTGGAAAATCAATCTGATAAAACCATTTCTAAACTTAGACATCGTTATAATTTGAAAATCTGAATTGAACGGAGTCCAGCTGCCGTCACAGAGAATTTCAGCTGCGAGCTCAGGAGCATCACTAAAGGTGTTGTGGTTTTCTTTAACCTTAATAAACTGTTAAACTGACTTACATTTATTAATTCAAGGCTAGCCTTGTTCTGTTTTAGAAGCCCTGTGATCAACAGTCCATTGTAACCAGCAGTCTGTATAAAACTCCTGATCCAGGTCTCATGTTTTCTAATTAATGATTAATGATGATCCAAGCTCTTTAATGAATCAGACTTCCTTGGAATGGTTTGAAGTGGTCATTGTTAAAGTCAAAAGTCAGAGTTTCTTTATTAGTCATTCGCATCACATGTGGTACATGTGGTGGAATGAAATTGTGTACAGAGGGTTACAGTTACATCCAACAAAAGTATAAATTGCAAAGAAAACAGTAATAGTATCTAAGATATGAACTAAGAAATACACTAATCTAAAAATTCACTAAGGACTAGTAGTACAAAAACAATATGCCGAACAACAGCAGCACGAACATGAATCAATCAACAGTAATCAATCAAAGGAACTATCAATAGTTCTTCAAACGTTTTGGGAGATTGTGGTTGCTTTTTGTCTCGGTTTCAGACCAATCCATGACCACATGGTACATACTCTCAACAGGTAAACTGAGTAAAATCCAATGTTTGCCACATTACAGAAAAACCGGACCCAAAACAAAAAGGTCTTACAGAGTCCTGAATCCAAATTTAGAAACAATGAATCAAAATGTTAGTTTGTACAACTGAGTCTGGACTGTATTTTAAACACATATATATTTATTCTAAACTTATTTTCATGACTTCAAGAGGACAAAACATCCATCCTATGTTGTAAACTGAATTAAAAGTGAATAAAGTCCAGATTAAATAATATGGAGCTTCTAAACACAATCATACCATCAGGTCTGGCTTTGTAAACAATTTGCCTGAATATATTAAAATATATATAGATATACTGTATATCAAACTAAGGGGGCTGTGGTAGCTTGGTGGTCAGCACCGTGGTCCTGTAATCCCAAGGTTGTGGGTTTGAGCCCAGGTTGCATCAGGAAGGGCATCCAGCGTAAATCAAATCGCCAAATCTTTTGTGCGAGTTTGCTTGCTGTGGTGACCCCTGAAGAAGGGAGCATTTGAAAGAAACTTACTTTATATATATAATACTAAACTCATTATGCATAACTTTATTGATAAAATTTGAGTTAGCAATGTTTTAGAAAAAAAACCAGTAAAAGCTGTCACTTATCATATATCTATATTTTTTCTTTTCGCCTCCAGCCTCCATCTTTTATTTAAAACACTTGTTCAGTTTTTTTTTATTTACCACAGACTTTCCCTCAGCTCTTTAAATAAGGTAAAATAATTCAAATAAAGTCATTGGTCCTACTGAAGTACATCATAAACATGGACGTTATCGGGCATCGTCTTTGTCATTTGGGATGCAAATGAAATGTTTAAGACAGTGAAACTGAGGTTGGCAGTGTCGCAAACTTAGTTCCACAAACAGAATTGTCTCTTTTACTTTCATTTATACTACATGTTTGATTCACTGTGGATACGTTTGTCGTTTTCCAAATCGCTGTACTGAGAGATGAGCTTGTAGGGTTTCTTTCTCTCCTTCTCCTCCAGCACAGAGTTTCCCATCTCCACATCTTTGCTGCGGAGCTCGTGTCGGGACAAGAACTCTATGATGCCAGCGCCGATGGAGTCCCCCAAAACGTTGGTGGTGGTACGAAGACGGTCCCTGAACCCCAGCAAAATATAAATAACGTTAAAACATTCAGCTGGGTTAAATAAAATGCCACTAAAACAGAATCTGCAAGTGACATTTAAACATGGATCAATGAGCTAATCACCAGACAAATGAAACGATTTTAGTCTGTGCCAACTCTGATCTGTTCAGAGCCCTTCAGCTCTCAATACTTCTAAGATAAGATAAAACTTTATTGTTCACCAAGGTGGAAATTTTCCTTCATATATATATACATATATATATATATATATACACATATATATATATATATATATATATATATATATA